GCCCCCCGGGACGAGTACATCAGTGTCCGACCCCCCGGGACTGGCACCGGGGTCACAGCGGTGTCCGACCCCCCCCGGTCCTGCTCAGCCCCCTGTGTCCTCCCTGTGTCCCCTCGTGTCCCTTACCCCTCGGTCCCTCCGGGACTGGACAGCCCCAGGTCCCTGCGGTGTCCCCCCTGGACTGACCTCGATCCCTTCGGTGTCCGTCATTCCCCCCAGTACTGGAATGTCCCCAGTGTGTCCCCGTGTCTGGTTGTCTCCCGGTCCCTTACAGCCCCCACTGCTCCCCAACCCCTCCCACCTCTGTGGCTTCTGTCTCTGCACTGACCCCGGGGGGGCTCCTGATTCCTGGTGTCATTCCCATTCCCACTATTCCTCTTCCCAGGCTGGCCCTGGAGCTGTCCTGACAGCACAGCCCCTGCCCCTGCAAGAACTGACTCCATATGTGTAGAGTTCCATTCCCCCGTTCCCAGTACCATTCCCCATTCCCAGTGCCATTCCTCATTCCCATTCCTGGTATTCCAGTGTCCCATTCCCAGGATGGCCCCACTGGTGCTGGAGCTGTCCTGGCAGCACAGCCCCTGGTCCTACAAGAGCTGACTCCATATGTGTAGGGTTCCATTCCCTGGTTCCCAGTACCATTCCCCATTTCCAGTGCCATTCCCCATTCCCAGTATTCCCAGTACTCCCAGTATGCCATTCCCAGAATGGCCCCACTGGTGCTGGAGCTGTCCTGACAGCGCAGCCCCTGCCCCTACAAGAACTGACTCCATATGTGTAGAGTTCCATTCCTCCATTCCCAGTACCATTCCCCCATTCACAGTACCATTCCCCCACTCCTAGTGCCATTTCCATTCCCATTCCTGGTATTTCCAGTATTCCCAGTATCCCATTCCCAGGATGGCCGCACTGGTGCTGAAGCTGTTCTGGCAGCACAGCCCCTGACCTTGGTCTGAAACTGGTGCTGGGAGTTGCAGCAGGGTGACCCCGTTTCTCGTTCCCATTCCCCATTGAGATTCCCAGTCTTCCCAGTACTCCCAGTATGCCGTTCCCAGGATGGGCCCATTGGTGCTGGAGCTGTACTGGCAACACGCCCCTCGCACCTGTAAGAACTTCGCCGAGCTGAGCCGACGCGGCTACTACAACGGCACCAAGTTCCATCGCATCATCAAGGACTTCATGGTGCAGGGAGGAGACCCCACGGGCACAGGTGAGCTCAGACCCCCAGGAACCCCCCTGAGATCCCCCCAGGACTGACCCCCCAAATACCCCCACAGGTCGTGGTGGTGCCTCCATCTACGGGAAACAGTTTGAGGATGAGCTGCACCCTGACCTGAAGTTCACCGGTGAGTGGGGCCACCACCAAGGGGACACCAGAGGGGTAGGACACCACCCAGAGTGGGGCAGGACCCCTGGGACCCCAACAGAGCCATGGGAACCCACCTAGAGCAGGGCAGGACCCCCAGGACCTTGGCCATGGGATGCCATGTCCCTTGTGATACCTGAACCTTGGCCATGAGGTGCCATGTGCCCCAGGACCTTGGCCATGAGGTGCCATGGCCCCTGTGTCCCCATCCATGGGTGACATGCCCCTGTGTCCCTATTCATGCCATGCCATGTCCCCCAAGATACCCAGACGTTATCCATGCAGTGCCATGTTCCCATGTCCCCATGTCTTCATCCATGAGGTGTCACATCTCCTGTGTCCTTGTCCATGAGGTCCCACGTTCCCTATGTCCCCATCCCTGAGGTGACATGTCCCCTGGGTCCCCATCCATCCATCTGTGGGGTGTCATACATGGAGTGCCATGTCTCCCATCATGGTAGAACCTTGGCCATGGGGTTCTATGTCCTCTATGTCCCCATCCCTGAGGTGCCATGTCCCCTTTGTCCCCAGTCCTGAGGTCTCACATCCCCTATGTCCCCATCCCTGCGGTGACATGTCCCCTAGGTCCCTATCCATCCATCCATCTGTGGGGTGTCATGCATGGAGTGCCATGGCCCCATCATGGTAGAACCTTGGCCATGGGGTGCCATGTCTTCTGTGTGCCCATCCCTGAGGTCCTATGTCCCCATCCCTGTGATCCCATGTCCCCCATGTCCGTATTCATGGGATGCCATGTCCCCTGTTACACCAGAACCTTATCCATGGGGTGCCATGTCTTCTTTGTCTCCATCCCTGTGGTGCCACGTCCCCCATGTCCTCCAGGACCCCAACCATGGTGTACCATGTCCTCCACCATGCTAGAACCTTATCCATGGGGTACCATGCCTTCTGTGTGCCCATCCCTGGGGTGCCACATCCTCTATGTCCCCATCCCTGAGGTGACATGTCCCCTGGGTCCCCATCCATCCATCTGTGGGGTGTCATACATGGAGTGCCATGTCTCCCATCATGGTAGAACCTTGGCCATGGGGTTCTATGTCCTCTATGTCCCCATCCCTGAGGTGACATGTCCCCTAAGACCCATCCATCCATCCATCCATCCATGGAGTGCCATGTCCTCATCATGGCAGAACCTTGGCCATGGGGTGCCATGTCCCCTATGTCCCCATCTCTGAGGTGCCATGCTCCCATGTCCTCCAGGACCCCACCCATGGTGTGCCTTGTTCCCCAGGACCCCATCCATGGGGTGCCATGTCCCCTATGTCCCCATCCCTGAGGTGCTATGTCCCCCAGGACCCCAGCCATGGTGTGCCATGTCCTCCACCATGCTAGAACCTTGGCCATGGGGTGCCATGTCTTCTGTGTGCCCATCCCTGAGGTCCTATGTCCCCATCCCTGTGATCCCATGTCCCCCATGTCCGTATTCATGGGATGCCATGTCCCCTGTTACACCAGAACCTTATCCATGGGGTGCCATGTCTTCTTTGTCTCCATCCCTGTGGTGCCACGTCCCCCATGTCCTCCAGGACCCCAACCATGGTGTACCATGTCCTCCACCATGCTAGAACCTTATCCATGGGGTACCATGCCTTCTGTGTGCCCATCCCTGGGGTGCCACATCCTCTATGTCCCCATCCCTGAGGTGACATGTCCCCTAGGTCCCCATCCATCCATCCGTGGGATGTCATATATGGAGTGCCATGTCTCCCATCATGGTAGAACCTTATCCATGGGGTACCATGCCTTCTGTGTCCCCATCCCTGTGGTGCCATGTCCCCCATGTCCCTATTGATGGGATGCCATGTCCCCTGTGACACCAGAACCTTATCCATGATGTCCCACATCCCACAGGTGCTGGGATCCTGGCGATGGCCAACGCTGGGCCGGAC